AAAAAAAAAAAAAAAAAAAAGGCTACATGAGGCTCATGCCGAGCGCGTGTGCATGCGTGCCCAAGATCCCGAGAGGAGAACAGAAGAGAAGGGATTGCAGGCCATCCCCCCTGAGGGGTGATTTTTCGCTTTCTGTCTCTTTGTCTCTCTCTGTCTGTCTGGCGAGTGCACACGCCCTATAGCGAAAACTTCTCCAAAAAAAAGAAAGAGTTGCAGCATGACCATCCCCCAGAAGGGTCATTTCTTGCTGTTTGTCTCTCCATCTCTCCAGTGAGAGTATGTGCCTTAAATGAAAAATCTCTCAAAAAAAAAAAACAAAAAAAAAAACAAGCCTACTTGAGGGAGACTACATATAGGGAAATCTACCTGTTGAATATGCTAGTCAGAGACTTCACTCTAAATATTCTAGATTCTTTCTTAAATTAAAAAGAAAAAAAAAAAGCAACATTAACTTAGCCTCCCACAGGAATATTTTCTGCCTGACATTATTACAGTCTGCTGTAAGAGGTGACTCCTCCGTGTTTGCTCTCAATTGCTCATAGCTGGTTCAATGTCTTCTGCATAAAATCCTTTTAAATGATAGACCAGAAAAATTCGTCATGCTTCTTTTTGTCATATAAGGAATGAAAATTCTCATAAGATTTCTTCTTTCAATGTAATGGCCACAGAGTTCAGAGCTACAATTTAGGCAAGGCCAGCCATCATTATCCCTTTTAACTACTTTCTCTGCTATTTAATAAAAGCCATCTTCTACTGACTAGGAGTTAGAGCTCAGAGATTAAGCAATGTGTTCAAAGTCATAGAACTAGGCTAAACTGTAGTTTGAATCCAGATCTGAATGAACCTAAAGCTCTTTTTTTTTTTCTTTGCCACAGGCGCATGTACTTGCTGGAGAGACAGAGAATTGAAAGGCAAAGTGAGAAATTCCCCCCCAGGAAGATGGCCACAAAACAATCCCTTCTCCTCCACTCTCCTCCTGGGATTTTGGGCACGCACACACACACATGCCTGAAGTGAGTTTCAAGCCACCAGATTCAGGACTCGAACTGTAGTTAGTCAAGTGGCAGTCCAGCACCTTAACCATCACACCACCTGCTGGCCCAAAGCTCATGTTCTTAAATGCCACAAATCTCCAGCTGTAAATTTTTCTAATGTATTTAACCATTCTATTTAGTATTTTAATACTAGAGTCCTTAGAATACAATCATTGAGAGCAAGAATTCAGGAGCCACCTGAGTTAAATCTCAGTTCCAATAAGTACTCACGCTGTGGCCTTGGGCAAGGAATTCAACCTTGCCGTATCTTGTTTTTTTCATCTACAAAATGAAGATAATAGGACTGACCCCATAGCACAGTAGTTAAGTGCAATGGATTCCACATTGCTGATTGTAATTAGAATCTAAGCTCCGATGGCTTAAAGAACATGTCAGATATGTGTGTATACAGGCCCAGGATGTTGACAGGAATAAAAAATGGAGGGAAAAAGACTGCAGCATGACCATATCCCATTGGGAAGGTGCTTTTTCTTAGTCTCTCTCTTGAAAACGTATATGCCTCTGGCAATTAAAAAAAAAAGAGAAAGAAATAAACCTCTATTCTTTATAAATTACCCAGTTTAGGGTATTCTGTAGAGCAACAGAAAACAAACTAAGACATCAATTTTTTTTTTTTTTTTAGGTTTTTGCTTATAAAACATTTTTGCACAGGGCCAGCTCTGTAGCACAACAGTTAAGGCAGTAGTTAAGCCCAGGAGGTAGGAAAGTAGACCCCACGTGGCTACCCACAGTTCAAGTTCTGCCCCAGCAGCTTGAAAAACATGTTGAGCACATATATATGTATGTGTATATATATATATATATATATATATATACACATCCGAAATCCTGATTGGGCGGGTAAATGGAGCAAAAAGAATTATGTTGTGACCACATCCGATGGGCGTGGGTCTTTCTCTGGCTGGCACACTTAGCCTTTGGCAATAAAAAAGTTTTTTCTACACAAAAAAATTACATTAAGAATTATATAACAAATTAGAAATCTACATATTTATGACAAAAATTCTAAACAATATAGGAAGAGGCACATATTTTTCTCACCTGTTTTTTTTTTTAAGAATTATTTTACTTAACTTTACTTATTTATTTTAATTTGACCAGAAAGGGACAGAGTGAAAGAGACAGAGGGAAAGTGAGAAAGGAAACCACCAGGTCCAGGACTCGAACCATGGTCGGCCACACGGGAACCCAGCACCCTTAACCACTACTCCACTTTCCAGTTTCTCCTCACCTGTTTTTCTTAGACCAGTAACAGAAGGCAATAAATGGACTT